AATGGGGGACAAAACAACTTGTTTGCAAAACGAGAACAGTGACTAGTCAGGAGGAACGCAGTGAATTTAGCTCTAGTGAACACTCGACCTGTTCGCAAACGTGACAACGTCAAAGGGCGAAAAGATTGGACAATATCGAGAACAAAGAAACGTGTCACAAACCTTCTACAGCCAGCCAACATGAGTGAAATACAGCTTGGCTGCAGTTCCACTGCATGTAACACTTATCCTATTAGGCGGCTTTATGCGGCTCGCCAATCCACGCTAGGTGGTCGTGGCCATGGGGTTTACCTCTTCTTCTATTCATCAGGCGATCCTGTGCACTGAAGACACGTAAACGTGAAACCACCCGATAGCGCTAACCTATTGAATTTGAGGGAGCTGGAACTGACGAGAGGGCCCTATCGCAACTCCTACCGATATCTCTTTTATTCAAGAGTCTGACCCAGATGAAAGCGAGATACCTCTTCAGTACTCGAGCACGATCGGAGGTCACGTGAGATCCTTGTTTGTAGGGGTATTTTCTATTACTTAATAATGTGCATTGAACGACGGAAGGGGAAACCTCAGTTACGACGATTCATTGTTATAATATATGATAACCGGCAATCAAAGCACTGGAACTCAAAGTAGTGAACCACATGAGGCCCCAAAGACCATCCATTTGTTTTCTCAAGAATACTTCTAAATACGCGGTACCCGAAACGGAGGGATCATGAGGGCAGAAATTACAACCCGTTCGGGTACACCCAACTCAGGTGAGCAAAAGATGATGATAAGAACCACTTCTACCGTCAAGAAAGAAACTCGAGATATTCCGTTTCGATGACCGTTCAGCTGAGTCAACAACGGTAAATTGCGTCTAATGGAACCACTGATGTACATTCTGCAAAACCGCCCCATTCGGAATGATAAGCTAACGATGAATGCCAGGAATCACACTTCAACCACTAAAGGCAAAAACCCCATAACCATGAGAACTATTGTACAGTGGGCACAGGGGGAATCAGTTTCAGTTTCAGTTTGAACAACCATTAACCACGCATATTCGTGCGCCGGTTTTGGTTGCTGTCTTTTGGCTGTCTTAGCTTGACCACCCTTGGCTTTTTTCCACTCGGTATCTGCTTCGGCGAACATCGCTCACCGTGGTAACCTACCTGGTGACATGCGTAATACACGTCCTAACCAACGTAATCTATGGAGGTCGACCACTTGCTCCAGTGGGCGACCGTATCTACCCAAAACTCTGCCCCTAACCTCAGCATTGCTCATCCGGCTACCCCACCAGATTCGTGCAACGCTGCGTAGACAGCGGTGTTCAAACACCGACAGTCTGTCTTTCTCTTGTTTTCTTAACGGCCAAGTTTCTGCACCGTATAGCAGGACTGGCTGAACTGTCGCGGCATACACTGGACGCTTCACAGACAGCCGGACGTCGCGACGGCGCCACAGATCTCTCAAGTTAGCAAATGCCAATCGAGCCTTCTGTATGCGAGCTGACACTTCATCCGTGATGCCTCCACCGGGTGAGATGTAGCTGCCCAAATAACAAAACTTATCCACCTACTCTATTAATTCTCCAGTAAGAGTGAGACTGGGTGCTGGACCAACCCAGTCTTGTAGCAACATTTTACACGGGGGAATACGCAACTAGAACGTAACTTGAGGATTCCGCGCTTGAAAAGAGACTAAAAGTGGGAGGGAAAACAAAAGACGTTCCATAATTCCACGGTGCTCGAATAAAGATGACTTGAAAGCCACCAATAAATTCGTATCGGACAAGCTAATCACAACACACTTAAACGTGCAAACCGATTAAAATAAACGAAGTATTTGACCTATGAACAAGTTAAATTCCGGAGATTGAAAACTCACTTGCTGGGGAAATTGACTGATTGGGTCGAACCCAGCGGAACTGATGTGTCTAAATTGGAATCAGACGTATGGGTAGCGGTCACGGTGGATCGATGCACTTTCGGTAATCCGTTTGCAGGGATCAAGAAAGAACCAGAACTTTGTAAAGGATCAGATTTTGCATCCAGAGCATGACGACCCTCTGAGGGAACTGCAACAACAAGCAACAAGGGGAAAATGTGAAAAATTGTGTTTAATGAATTAGAGCTTGTGTGCTGCCATTCAATGTGACAAATGTGTCAAGCACGAAACGACCGTAAGGGCAAAAAATTGTGCAATGTTGCAGTTTCGCATTTTGCAAGTTTACCATAAAGATACCAATTTATATATCACATTTCAAACGTTACCGGCTACAACTTTAGTGTTAGTCACTCGCGGAGATAACTGCCTTCGAAAACACTAGGCATCTTAGTCGGATGACTTATTCCAATCACCTCTAAGGATGCGAACTCCGCTTCAGTTTAGCGTTGTCAAACCTTCTGGATTTAGTATAGGAGAGCGAACAAATTCCTGAGGAGCGCTTTGATTTAACCACCTTGCCGATTTCTAATAAACGGGACATACTC